TAAACTCTGCCTGTTGCATTCCTCCAAGCAACAGAAATTAAGTGGATGTCCTTCACACATTCCCTCTCCACACATTATCAGAAGAAAAAGAAATCTACAACTGCCATTTTAAATTTGCCAACCAGTGAATATATCCTGTTGAACTAAATGGAACGTACTTTTGAGTAAAGGAAACATGTACAGAATGAGAACTAAATCTTTTTTTTTTTACTTTTTTGAGGTCAAAAGGAAAGCATTTGTTTTTATAATTGTTGAGGTATAACTTAGAAAATTACTTCAAAGAACACTGCAGCATTTTAATAGCCACACTTCACCAGAATACTTGCACAATATTATTTTTAATGGGCCACAAAACCTTAATAAATTGTACAGTTCAAACAAGAGATATAACAGTCAATTCCAAACCAAGCAATTGCTTGGTTATCCATAAGATATTAGGTATGATTAATTTAACCCTTGAAGGGTTTCAAATATGTATGTGTTTACCATATTATATAGACTACTTGATTAGTTTATAATTTAAAGTATTATGCAAATCCATACAAATTAATAAATTAATTCAGTAAACAGGATTAATTTAGGAGGTGCTAAACAGGATTAATTTCGAAGAAAGGTGCTAAGCAAATGAAAGTTGGTCAAACCATACCTAAAATATTGCATCCAGTTCTGGCATAGAACTTTAGGAATGACATTGACAAACTGAGAGTGTTAGGAATGGAGCAACTGAAATGAAGATTGAATGATTGGAGTCAATGGCTATGTGTAATGTGGAGACCTGATACAAGATAGCTGTCCTCAAATGTATGTAGAAAATTGGGCAGGATTATTGCAGTTGTTCCTGATGACAAAACACAATGGACTTAAATTAAAAAAAAAAGACTTCAGTTGGGCATTTGGATAAATTTCTGATAAGAGCTCCAAAACAATAGAACACACTGTCACAGGAAGTATTTGAACAGAGACAGGATGGTTGCCAGGGATGCTACAGCAAGGTTTTCGTATCCATGATATTGGATATACATGATATCCAACATATTTCTACTCTTTATATTCTAATATTTTACAAACCCATGAGAGGAAAAATAAGTTTATTTTTCTTCTTCAATTCAGTCTTGGGTCTTATCTTAAGAAACTATCTGGACAAATCCCTACTGTTTTCTTGACAAGGTTTTTCAGGAGTGGTTTGCCATTGCCGCCTTCCTAGGACTGAGAGAAAGTGACTGGTCCAAAATCACCTAGCTGGCTTTGTGCTTAAGGGGGGACTACAGTCCAGGATCTCCTGGTCTTTAGCCCAATGCCTTAACATCAAAACAAAATTTAGACTACAAATTGCCCTTTTTCAGTTTCAAATGGCAAACTCTCAGTTCAAAATGGGCTTTCCAGTCTTAGTGGAAATGCTTTCTACTGTCTCAAACATTCCAGAATCATTGAAAGCCCAAAACACATCTGTTTTGAGTTCAATCTGTAGATATTTAAAACTCAACATACCTGGAAGTTAAAAACAGTATTTCTAACTTGAAACCAGTTGAGGTTGAAGTGGATCAAATTCACAATGTTCTGCACAAGACTATAAATATCTTTTACTGGGATGTACCCAGGTGAAAACTGCCTGCGCACAGTTATCAGTTCTAACATAAGTGCTGGTTTTACCATGGGTGTTTTTGGAGCGTGGGGGAGGGAGAATGGTGTGCTAAACAAGGTTGCCTGAGCATGCCAGACATGAACGTGTTCAGTAGCTCTGCCCTCCTTCCAAGGCACTCAATCCCTAGCTTTACCCGGGTTCACTCAATTAACCTGGTGCCCTAGATTCCCATAGCAGGCTGAAACAGACTCCTAAACCTGAGTCCACACAATGCACGAGGCTCCAGATCTATCCATTGATTGACTCTGTTGCTATGTCTCAAAGGTGTGTTTTTATCCCCCTTCAGTTTTTCTTCCCAGTCTTGAAGAAGCTTCTTGGATGAGAAGTGAAACGTTTTTCAAACAGGACACCAAGGAAATTCAGGTGCTTTTTTGGGAGTAGGAAAAAAAAAACACCTTTAGGACAATGTCTATGGCGAATCTCCATCATCCATGGTTATGGTTGCCCCAAAGAATCTTTTTCAAGAGGCAACTGGACTTTCTTCGTTTTTTTCTTTGAAGACATTTCGCTTGTCATGCAAAAAGCTTCTTCAGCTCTGAAGAGCTCTGAAGAGTCCAGTTGCCTCTTGAAAAAGCACCTTTGAGACAACCACGATCTGAAAGGCTGAAAATCTCCATAGACACGTGACCATGGGGATGCTGTAACGGTCATAAGCAAACCATGGTAAGTTGAGGACTACCTGTGCAGGGTTCTCACATTTACATGACCCTGAAAAACACCTTTGGGACAACCATGACCTGGAGGATGGAGAATCTCCATAGACCCTCCATTGCTGGGTCCATTGGACAATGCTGAACAGCCCCGGCCATCACCCATTCCAATCCTTCACCCTAGAGAAAAGCTGCAAAGCGAGCCTGGTGCTCATCCCAGCCTGGACCACTGTCTCCTGGCTAGCTCACCCCAACTCAGTCCAGGTTCTCCAACTTGGGGCACCACCACCCCAATGGCCAACTCCCCCATCTCAGCCCTCCTTTGCCATGTTTCAGTCCCAGCAACCACCGGACAGAGAAAATGGGGTGCCCAGGGGCAGATCTCCCCAAATCTGGAGAGAAGAGGTTGGGGCAGGGGGTTGGACTAGAAGACCTCCAAGGTCCCTTCCAGCCCTATGGGATTCTATGCTTGCTCCTGTTCGTTCCACCAACGTAATTTGGGGGGAAGAGGGGGGGTATTTCGGTGGCCCAGGCTCCCCAAGTTGGGTTGATGCCAGTCCCTTGATCAGGAGCGACTGCCCATCCCAGAGACCCCCTCCCAGGCCACGGCAGCGTCTGGGGAATGAGGGGGCGCCCCGGGGGAGTCGCCCCCTTCCCCGAGCCGCTGTGGCTGCCCCCCTTCCCCCCCCTCTTGTTGCTCTGGGGGCGGGGTCCCACTAAGCCCCTCCCTCCTCGCCGGCCGTTACCTGTCTGTCTTTCTGTCTCTTTCTCTCTCTTTTCGCTTCAGGGCCCAGCCCGACCCAGCCGCAGGGCTCCCCCGGGCGCTTCCCTTCCCGGCTGCCGGGGAAGCAAGGGGACGTTGGGGGAAAAATGGGCGGCCCGGTGCGTCGGGCAGAGCAAAGCGGGTCGTCCACCGAAGGAAGGCAGCCAGGAAGAGAGCCCCTTTACCCTGACTGACTGACTGACTGATGGAGTAGGAGCCACCTCCGCTCCTTACTCCGGGGGTCACCGGGCCTGGGCTGACCCCGACGTGCGGCCAATCAGCGGGCGCGCTCGCCGCCAGGCAGCCGCCCACCACCGCTTCTGATTGGACGTCGCGACAGGGAGGGAGGGAGGGAGGGGTGGGGAGTCGACAGGCCACGCCTCTCCCCGCCTCCCACCTGGCGTTTCCTTCTCCTCCTCCTCTACTTGTTCTTGGCGTCTCTTTCTCCTCGTCTCTCCCGAAAGGATACAAGTCCTCCGCCCGCCCCACCTCCCTCACTAGAAACACTTCCGGCCCCGTCTCGGCAACTTTTGCTTCTCTTTGGGCTTCTCCGGGGAAAGAGAAAGGAACCTTGACCATAGAGTCGCGGGTGGGCAAGAACGACGCCGATCCACTTCCTTCCCCCTCCCCACACGCCGCTGCCCGAGAACACGGTTTTCCTGCCTTCTGCCGGAAGTTGTAAAGCTTTAACTCTATGGTCCCACCGGAAGTCGCGGTAGCCCGGCTGGGAGACCCTGGATGGTAACGGGGGGGGGGGGGGGGGGGGGGGGGGGGGGGGGCGGACGGTTTGTAGCCGCGATGGAGGCGCGGAGGAGGAGAAGGGCTTGAGCCTCCTCAGGGAAACGTTGCCTCTGGTCGGAAGGCCGAGAAGATTGGGAGTCTGGGGTGTTGCATAGGATTGGGGTGTGTGTACGGGGAGGGGGTCCTTGCTCCAATATAAGAATCGGTATTGAGGGCGGGACATCATCATCATCATCATTATTATTACTATTACTATTATTATTATTTATTACTATTACTACTATGCTACTGTGTTTCTCATATAATAAGGCCCGGTCTTATTTTTTTTTGAGCCCTGAAAAAATGGCTAGGCCGTTTTTTGGGGGGGTGACTTAATTTCCCCCCCCCCCTTGCATCTTTGGGTGGGCGGGCAGCAATGGCTTGGATGTTGACCTCGGCGTTGGTGGGGCACTTCGTATTGGGGTCAATGCAGGCAGCACCATATCTGGGTGTGCAACAAAAGTACTTCCTAACGGCAAGCCCCCCCCCATTCCCCCCCATTTCGCATGTTTTAATATAGGCCTTAATTTGGGGGGAGTGGCTTAATTTCATTTCAGGCCTATAAAACATGCTGGGACTTCCTATTGGGGAGGCCATATTGTTGGAGAAACAGGGTACTTATTACTACTAGTTATTCTTATTAATTATAATTATTGCAAACCATATTTTTTGCAAAGCAGAGAAGAATGGAAAGGAAAGATTTCCCCGGAGAGAAGAGCTGTTTATATCTCTGTTAACTATGCCTGACATTTACGTATGATACACAGGTCATCCTTAACTTACAACAATTCATTTAGTGACCGTTCAAAGTTCCAGTGGCACTGAAAAAAAAGTGACTTAGGACCGTTTTCCACACTTACAACCATTGCAGCATGGTCACATGATCTAAATTTAGTTGCTTGGCAACCGATTCATATTTATGATGGTTGCAGGGTCATGTGATTCCCCCTTTGCAAACAGAAAGCCCGTGAGGAAGCCAGATTCACTTAACAACTGGGTTCCTAGCTTATTGACTGCTGTGATTCACTTAACAATGGTGGCCAGAAAGGTTGTATAATGGGGCAAAACTCACTTAACAAACATCTCGCTTAACAACAGAAATGTTGGGCTCAATTGTTGTAAGTTGACTGTACACAGGTACTGTAACATTGACTGTACTCAATGTTCTATGGAGCTTCTTAGACATCCGGGTCATGGTTGTTCCATGGCTGCTTTTTTCTCAAGAGGCAACTGGACTTTATCTGTTTTTCTTTTTGAAGATGTTTTGCTTCTCATCCTGGAAGCTTCTTTTTAGTACCCGAGGCAGGACTAAAACTCACAGGCTCCCAATGCATGGGCCTTGTGCCTTAACCGCTGCACCAAGCTGCCATCTGCTGGAACCAAGAGAAAAAAATCCTAAAGTGCAACTCCTGCTAATTACATTGATGCACCTTGCATTGGAAATTTACCTAGCAACAATACAGGAGTGGTTTATAATTGCCGCCTTTTAGAATGCTTAACTTCCAAGGCTAAGTTAAGTTACTGGGAGCTGCTCTAAATGTAGTAAATTGTTTCCTCTAGACTAATTCCTATATGCAACATGAGTATTTCATTTTATTTGGGAAGTGTATATTGCTGCCTATTTGCACATGGCAACTCAAGGCAGTTTACAGGAATATAAAAACCTCATATAAAAAACAATAAAAGATTTCAGAAATAGAGAAGTACAAAAAACAGTTGAAGAGAGAGAGGAATAGTTTTCAAATAGAAGATTTTTAAGGGGTAAGGGTAGTTGTTTGGGAGATCCTGAGCAGAATTAGGATGACCACATGTGACAGAAAAAAATCTCAAAGTACTTTAGAGAATTCAGATACTTGCTTTTAGTATAAATAGCTTAGCATATGGCATCTACAAAAGTCTTGCAATCACTGATAGTATAATTAGTGATTAAATGTTAGTGCTTAAATTATTAGACTGCAATTAGGTAAAGCCAGATTCTGGCCTAGAGTCAGCCAAGAAAGTTCTTTTAGTAATTTGGAGTAGTACAAATATATAAGGTTTCAAAAGAAAATAGAGAAATAAAAAAAAGGCTAAATGAGAGAAGAATTGCCTCTCTCAGGCTACTTCAAGAGGGTTGCTGCTGTGAGAATGAAAAAAGACAGGCCTCCACAGAAACTGCCTTGACTGAGGAAATAGTGGAATCTAAATCTAATAAAATAATAATTAGTAGCCGTGTTTGAATAGTACCTGGTGCTGAAAACTTGAATTGTTCTGACTTTTCACTAAGAATCACTACCAATCTCACATTCTTGTCATTTTTTTTAGGTTCAATGGAACTGGAATCTTTGCCAAGTTACATCTTATATGAGAGTCAGTTCCTGGAGTGGGGGAAACAATTCAACTCCTGCTGATTTGAATATATAAAGAAGCCCTGGATATATAAAAATTGCTGATAATGGAGACTTACTTTCACTTCCTTCAAAAAATGTATAATGATATAATTGCTGGTGCTTTGTTCGCCCAAGATAGTTACAGTTGTGCAGCTCTTCTAAACCCATCGGCTTTTTCATCAGCAAAAAATTGTGAATTATGTGCCTGTCATTTTTTTTCTAAGTTGGATGCTGAGATTCCTTCCGGTCTAGACCCAATAAACAAAGGACATGATATTTCTAAAAACCTTAGCCATCTGAAGTGCCATGCACGGGAAATTATTCTGCTTCAGTTAACTTTGATCGAGATGGTGCTTGCCAAACTGCAGCTGCAAGGGGTGGCTACTGAAATAAAACCCAAATACATTGAGATCCTGAGAATCCTGGAAGAATCGAATATTGTCGCTGAATTGGTCAGTTTCCCAAAGGTTGTGTTTTTCTTAAATGCCTTTGTTAAGATGTCTTGTAGGTACAACTTCCTTCTGTTTCCCTTTCTCCTAGATTCATCTGCTACGTAGTTCAGATAAACAGCTCTCTCACATGGCTTCTAAAAATTTGGCTTCCCTTGTGCATTTCCAGCTAACAGAAGAGGTAAGTCAGAAACTGAGCTTTGTAGTTACGGTTTAGCCAAATGTATCTGCTTTGTGGTTTTGTTTTTACTTCAAATACACATGTAATAATAGCTTATGTTGGAAGAAATATCCTTCTGGGTTCAGTTCCAAGTGGAGAAAAAGACACTGGAAACATGGGGGCTGTTTGGAAAGATGGCTTAATGGTGGGCAGGATCATATACCTTGGAGTTCTAGGGTGAAGAAAAGGGAAGGAGAGTCCCTGGGTTTTATACCCTCTCTGGCTTTTGAACTTCCTGGGGCACAGGAAGAGTAACCTGATTGGTTGCTATCAGAGGTCATAGCTAGCTTTGTAGGTTGTCTGTGTGCTAAGTTTGGTTGAAATTTGGTGGGTGGTGCAATGAAGGACAATTCAATGGCTCTGCCTGAAGGAGGTAGATCTTTGTTATGTAGAATAGACCACCCTAGGCCTTAATGGCCCATTAATAAATGTAGGGGAGCTGAGTTTCTGCTTTTCTTTTTAGGGAAAATATTCTGATTTTTTAGTATATCCTAAAATATTTCATTTTTCTAGGAGAGGGGTAGGTTTTAACTTCCAACAGTAACTGTTCAGGATTTTGTACAATGAGCAACGTAGTACAGAACTTAAGCTAACGTAATCTTTAATGTTATAAATCCCTACCCAGCAAAAATACTAGTTACATCTCGTGCACTCTCAATGCAGCCTGTTTTGTTCTCCTAGTAAAAGAAGAGCTAAACTTATACCTGGTGGTGCCATCTGTTACCCCCTTCTAATTAGGTTGCTTTTACTCATTGGGCTGGCCGGACAGATATCTCTGCCTCCCTCATTGGGCCATGTACTTTTCTCCCAAATGTTGCACTTAGGAAAGATCGCCAGATTTTTTAAAAAAATGTAAAATGTAAACACTATAAATAAATGACAAAGCATATTCTTTAAAAAGACATTCATCATATTTAATACTTCCACTGAACTATATGTTTTGTGGCTATATATTATAAATGTTTTTAATGATGCATCTAATTCATTACTTTTTTAATGGAGTTAATGGAGCTAGCTTATCTTAAAAATGAATAGATTATTTCCAGGTTTTTCTCTATCTGATATATTTCAAGAGAATTTTACCGTATCTTCTTGTTTTTGTGGGAGAATAAAACATGTTTTTCTCCAAAAACAACCAGGAACAGCTCTGTCAAAGCAGGAAAGTGGGGGAAGTTTTTTCCAGTGTATTTAAATTGCAATTATTTGATTATAGTTCAGTTCCTTTTAAATTCCTGATTGCTTTTTCCTAATTGTGCAATTTTTTAATGCCATGTTTGTGTTTGATTGTTTACAAGCATGAGCTATATAGAACTAGAGCCCCTGTTTTAGAACCCCTGGAATGAAGCAGTTAAAAATGTTGATAGATAAAATAAAAAGAAGTGCAAGTATATTTCATTAGTAATGTTTTTGCCATTAGTAGCTCGTCTCAATTCTGTAGCCTCATAAATGACTGGTTTTTTTCCCACTATCTCACAGGATACATTACTAGTCCACGCGTATATTTTTTAGTTATTTGTGGCATATAGTTGGTTTAAAAGATGGGGAGTGGAGATACGATTGAATGTTCCTTACATATATCATTAAAATATGAAAATAAATAAATAAATAAATAAATAGGAAGATGGTTGCTAGGCTGGCCTTTTTTTTTTTTTAGACTTGCTGCTTTTCATGCCAAGAAAATAGTTGGTGCTGACCATATTGTTAAGTATAGACACTCTGTATACATTCTGCATTTTGAGGCAGATTTTTTTCCATGTGCAACTGCACCTCATTAGTTTCCTCCTGCTAACTGGTGTCATAATGCAGTACTAAAATAATCAGATAGAGGGCTTAATAGGACCAGAGAAATTACATTTTGGATATTCTGCTGTTCAAATTGCATGCAGATTTTCCCGCAGATCTAGTATATGTATTAGAACTACTGCTCGCAATAACTTGTCATCTGTTTTCCAAAACTGAGGGGGTTTTTTTTAGCATGAATTTGACTGAACTCAAGTAATGGTAGTGCCTGTTGGAAGTTAAAACCCACCCCTCTCCTAGGAAAATGAATTAGTTTAGGATATACTAAAAAGACAGAATATTTCCCCTAAAAAGAAAAGTAGAAACTCAGAGAGACTGAAACTCAGTCCCCCACCTTTGCTAATGGACCATTACTCTGGTCTGGGCCAGTCTATTTTACATAACAAAAATGTACTCCAGGTAGAGCCATAATAGGAATTGCCCAAAGCCTTTTCATTACATCATCATCCAGCAAAGCTCAACCAAGCCTGGGACTCAGGACAGCCTACGGAGTTGCCCCTGCATGGCCCCATGGAAGTCTGACAACCAATCAGAAAACAAGCTCAAATTCAAATGCCAACAGAGGGCATAAAACCCAGGGTTTCTCAGTATCTTGCCCCCCCCTTTTTTTTCTTCTTTTCCTTCACCCAACATCTTGAAATATGTGACCACCCTTTTCACTTTGGAGCTCCAAGCCATGTGGTCCTGTCCACCATTAAACTATCTTTCCAAGCAGCCACCATATTTCCAGTGTCTTTCTTCCCCACTTGGAACTGAACCCAGAAGGATATTCTTCCAACACGCCCGACCCAAATCCATAACTTTTGCACCCCACTGTACTTTTTCTTAGGACAGAACCATTCCCCTTTCTTTCTGCCGTCAAAAAATTGCCACGAAGGTATTTTACAACAGTAAGAAAATGTGGGAAGTTTTAAAATTAGAATAAATAATCAGTTCAATTGATTGAGGAGAATCAAAGGGGGGGTTAGAGTGAGCTTTAAAGTTAACCTTTATAGAAGAGATTGAAAAATAGGTAGGTGGAAAAATTCTTTGACATTAAACTTTAAAGCCTGGACTACGGAATATGAAAGTATGGAATTTAACCAAAGGTCTCTATAAAGTGAGACCATTTGTGTTCTCAGATAGATTCTTGAATGTTCTTCAACGATGCCTCAGCATGAGCAGGAATTGGCAGCCCAGCATTTTGACTGCAGTGCTTAGAAAATATTACTTAACATTTCTTCTAAGCTTGCTTAACGGCATAAAGGGAAAAACATGCACTTGTGTTCTGTGCAACTGTCATTAAATATAGGTAGTCCTTGACTTACCACCATTCATTTAATGGTATAACGCCACTGAAAAAAGAGGACATGGCTATTTTTACTTTACTTTATTTCATTGTCATTGCACCCCATACAACAAAATCAAACACCATCTTCAGTGCACATCATGACCATGAAAATAAACACAAACACACATCCTTCACCCTCCACACATTGAACCAAAAACCCCGACATCACCCCAACACTGCATTATACAGCAGAATTCAAAAGAGGTACTGCCCTGGGGTAGAAGCTGTTTTTCAGCCTATTTGTCCTTGTTTTTATTATTCTGTATCGTCTGCCAGATGGTAATAGTTCAAAAAAAGGGTGCCCAGGATGAGATGGATCTTTGAGAATGTTTTGAACTTTCTTAAGGCAGCAGGAGGTCTAAAGCTCTTTCAAAGAGTGGAGCGGGCAACCCATGATCTTCTAGGCAATGATATTAACCCTCTGGAGTGCTTTCCTATCTGTCCCTGTGAAATTGGCAAACCCTACAGAGGTGCAGTATGTTTTTTTTAAACAAATTTTATTGATTTTCAAACAAAAAACAAAAAAAACATAAAACATAAAAAAATAAAACATCTTTTTTGAAAGCAGCTTGATCCTGGGTTACATCTCTTCGTACAGACACAAATTCAAATTCATGCTCATTTTATATACCATTCCATATCTTATTGCCATTCTACATTTTCTATATAGCTTCTCCCCTCTTTTAACTTTCTTAGTTTTATTTTATTTCATCTCATCTCAGTTCAGATCATTATACTTATATTCTTTGTCTGTCCTATTTCCAGCTGTCTATTCTCTTTTCTCATTAAACAAAATTCCTCCTGTAATCACTGATTGGAGTATGGCGCCTTTATCTCTTTCCCCTAAATTTATAACACTTAGTATAATACATAACTTTCATTTGGTTTCTGCTTAGTACATTCTAAAGTTACACACTATATTTTAAAAAGAGAAAAAATTATAAATATATAATATAATTAAAACAACAATCCATACCAATTCAAATCTATCATTAATATTAATTTAAATCTTAAACATTTTACACATTACTTTTCAAATAAGTATCATACTTCTATGGGAACACTTATAAACTTTCCATAATTATTTCCCCCCAACTTCACTTGTATTTTAAAACATTGTGTCATTAAAATGTTCCCATTCCTTCCTAATTCAATTCTCTCATTTATTTCATTTCCTTTCTTTTGTTCACAAAAGTTTCACTGAATTACACTGAATATTTTATCCCACTTTTTAATCACATATTGTTTCCAATTTTCTAACATTATGTCTAATACAAATATAACAATACAATTTTATGTACCTTTGTAGAATCACTTTTTCAGTTAAATTTTTACCCATTATCTCTAAATGTCCTGTTTCTTTACATCTTGCTCCACACCTTTGAAGTTTCTCTTCCCTTCCTTCCTCCCTTGTTCTTCTCTCTGCCCTTTTTACTACCTTGTCTCTCCACCTCCATTTCTCTCTTCTGTATTCCCCCTTTCTGTTGTTTTCTAACATTATATCCACTTTTCACCTTATTTTTCCCTTTTTTGGTTGTTTTTTTCAGATCTTAAAGTCTCCATTTTCTTTCCCTCCTTTCCCCTTTCTTCCCTAAGTTACTTGTTTGTTAAAGATGGCTTCTTCTTTGTCCCAATCATCTTGTTGCACAGTTCTTTCTTGTAGTTTCTCGTCGGTACAGATCGCCATTTCTAAGAATTGAAAAAGAGAGCAAAGAGAGCCCTTCCCTTCTTGTTCCTCTTCTTTGGATTTTTTAAATTCCATTTTCAGTTCATCCACAAGTGATGCCATTGTAAAAAAAAACATTTTTTTCAAACAACCACCCAAGTGTTTTTAGTCATTCAAATATAATTTCCAAAAGTCCCAAAGTCACCAAGCAATCCAGATACACACAAGCTATTTCTTTTGACACTTTCTTCTTTTTTCACTTTCTCTTCCTGGGGTTACTGTTTAGTTAAAAAATTCCAGTTAAAAGGAATCTTTTAGAAGTCTTGTTGGGATTTAAACAGATTCTTTTAAATTCTAGGCAGTCTCCTTCCGAATCCTGCTCTTATTCTTTTCCTCTCCCTTCCCACTTACAGCAAGAAAAAAAAGTTTTTTTTTTAATGTTCAGAAATCCTTATTATCCCCTTGACATTTAATTATCCAGTTTAATTACCTATTGATGCCAAAGCGGGTTTTTCCGATTTCTCATTCATTTCTGTTGGCTCTCAACGTTAGGAAGGAGAGTGAAAAAAAAACTTTCGCTTTTCACTTTCATTCACTGCTTCTGAATCTTCCTTGGGAGCGATAATCTTTTTTAAAAATTTAAATTCCAGGATACCTTAGTTGTTGCTTCTTATCCCGGTCAGCCAAAACTTTCACTTCTTAACTTCCTCCTGCACTTTCTTTTCCGGCTGAGTGCTTCTTTGAGGCGGCCATTTCTGACCGCCGCTCTTACCGCCTTCGGAAAAGGGAGTTTAGCCAAATGAGGAGGAGAGGTGCGGCTCCCCTCGACCCTGCCAGGTCTCCCCTGTCTTCACCACCTCTATGGGGTGGCTTAGCCCCAAAGCCGGCTGGCTCGGGGCACTCCAGCGGCGAGCTCAGGCAGAAACCGCGCACGATCGTGGATTCCTGCCTGCCGCCGAAGCGCTGCAAACCGGAACTCTCAGAGGTGCAGTATGTTAAAATGCTCTCTATGGTGCAGCGGTAGAAGGTCACCAGCAGTTTTTTTTCCCACACTTACAACCGTTGAAGCATCCCCATGGTCCCGTGATCAAAATTCAGATGCTTGGCAACTGACTCATAGTTATGATGGTTGCTGTGTCCTGGGCGTCATGTTGATTCCCTTTTGTGACTTTCTGAAAAACAAAGTCAATGGGGAAGCCAGATTCACTTAACAACCGTGGAACTAACTTTATTGAGGAGATTCACTTAACACCTGTAGCAGGAAAGGTCATCAAAAGGGGGCAAAAATTCATTGAACAACTTGCCTTGCTTAGCAACAAAAATGTTGAGCTCCATTGTGGTTGTAAGTCAGAAACTACCCTCATTGCTCATATTTCCATGTAAGCAGGTTGGAGGGGATGCTAGTTTCCAGTTTTTCAGATGGATGGAAAGAAAGATAGAGATTTCACCCATCCTGCTAACAATGCTATTTTAACTAAATCACCTTTGGCGGGATTTGCACAGTGTACTAGATGGTAAGCTGTAATTACAAAAGCTGCTTACCATACGAAGCCAAAGGTCAACCTTATAGGTTAATGAGACATGTGAACCTAACTGTGTGCTGTCAGTTTCTAGTAAAACCATCCTACACCATTTAGCATAGGGGTCTCCAACCTCAACCAAAGCTGGCTGAGGAATTCTGGGAGTTGAAGTCCACAAGTCTTAAAGTGGCCAAGGTTGGAGACCCCTGATTTAGCGTACTGTTTGACTCAGCCTTCCATCCTTCCAAGGTCAGTCAAATGAGGAGCCAGATTGTTGGGGGCAAGATGCTGACTCTGTAAACCACTTAGAAAGGGCTGTAACCAGGGGTGGGATTCTACCGGTTCAGACCAGTTCTATAGAACTGGTTGTTACGATTCTGCACAGTTCGGAGAACCGGCAAATCGCACCACTGGCCTAAGAGGAGAGTTGAACCTTCCTTAGGACTGAAGCTTCTATTTTTGAACCTTTTGTAATAGTTGCCTTTTTCATGCTTCTCCCTTGTTTTGATATTTGGAGAAGGGTTAAAGGTTATCCTTCAGACAGATATCCAAGAAGTCATCATTTGTTCAGTGTAACCCAGGGTAACGTGCATTCTCTCTCTTTTTCCCCAGAATTCATTAAATAGTGCCTGGCTTACTTTTTGTTTAGAGACTTTATCAGGATTTCCCAGTAATACTTCAATAGCAGAATGCCTCTGGACTTTGGCCAAAATAATAAAAGAAATTTTGAATGATGACAACCCTTGCAAAGAAGGTACTGTTTCAATTGGCTTTACGTTGCAAATAGCTAATAGAGAATCAGTGTGCAGTTACTCTTCGTGAAACTATTGATATGTTCATATTGTTATGGATATATTGCTTGCCTTGTAAATTTTCATGGAAGAAATAGGTTTTTAATGAGAAAAAGTTCTAATTTTGACTAATAATTTAGTTAAGGCCTCTCTATCATATTTAAGCCCTGGTTGATGCTGGTGTTGTTGTTGTTATAGGTAACCTGAAGAACCTTCTTACTCCACTTAACAATGTGCTGGAAAACTTCTACAGTTCCATCCTTTCTTGTTATTCATCTGCTCACAATATTCCACTATCTGCAAAATCAACAAATAACTTGAATAGCTTTCTAGATCTCTTTGAGCTGCTTGTAGCTTCCAGGATTCAGGTGCCACTCAACCTCGGATGCCAAAGGGTATTGTTTTTGAACTGTTGCAATATCGGCTGCCTTGCCTCATCTCCAGTTCGTGGTTTCATCAAGAAAAAATTGATCGCGTTGCTTAAAAACTGCATACTTCACAAAGCCGGTGAAGACCTGATCAAGACAAAGGCGCTTCCTTCCTCTTCCCAGGACCCTCATTTGGACAATGATCGATTAGCATTGGCTGATACCGTGCTACGTTTTGTGAATTCTGATTGGCTGGGCAGGTTGTGTGTTAGTGGAAACACCCGCCATTTTGATGGTAGCACAATTGAACCTCAAGAACCTGCGAAGAGTAACTTTGATGTAGTGATCTTCAGATCCTTAAGCTTGCTTCTGCTTAAAGCGTTAGAGACGAAGATCCAGGATTCTGCCTGCAAAAGTGAATCACAAGGTAATTTTGCTTTCACAGCAAAATACTTTGTGATCATTTTGTGAAAACAATGGGGTTGCCACTGTATTTTTGAATTTTTTTTCTTTCTTTCTGAAATGATAGCTGTTTAAGGGAATAGAAGTTAAGACTTCATTGGATGCAAGGGAAAAATAATTTGTTAGGTGAAGTCTTCATATCCACCAATTTATCTCTCCTTTATTTGTTGAACTACTTCTCCTTCCAGTATGCTGAAGGGGATTTACTACCTACTTATAAGTTATACATTCTTCGAGAAATAATTTTCCCAGTCAGATCTGTGGATTTATCATAGTAATTCAAAAGCTATCCGGAAACTTTTGTTCCATAACTTAACCTGCAAGCTTTAGCTACCAGATTATGGATTAATGAAAGCTTTAAAGTTGATTGCCTTTCACTGCATAGAGAATCTAAACAACGTCAGAAAACCAAGTAATAAAATAAGAAAATATTTAAAGATGGTGTTTTCTTTTAACAGCATATAATAGACTTAGAGGATCATATCGTAAAGGTGTACAGAAAGAACTGTGACTGCAGAATGGGTGTGCAAATTTTGGTTTTGCAGACACTGGAGAAATAAATTACTTTTAAGAGAAGATGCCAGTGGTTTATTCATTTGGCATTTTAGTAAAACGTTGCTTCAGAATATTCCCATCGTGGCATTGAGGTGTCTATAGCAAAGTTACATTGTACAAGATGTGGGAGGATTGTGTTTAACTTGAGCAGGTGTTGTAATCCAAAGGCTCTCCAGAGAATGAAGATGTTCAGTGTGGTGTGTCATTTGAAATTTAGTTTGATTGTGTCTCTAACTTCATTAAGAAGTTCCACTCCCAGAAGTCTCAATATACAGTCCATAAAAAATTATTGGGCTCAGCTAAAGTGAAGAGGTTTTAATAGAGTGGATAATTATATGTACACAGGAACAGTTTTCTGGATTATGGAAGCTGTAGGCGTGAATATTTTTAATCTGTTGCATGAGCAGAAAGTTTTTGCCACGTTGAATTTGAAAGTGGATCCTTTTTCCCGCAAGCCCAAACATAGCATCCATTTAAGTCCTTAAGTCAGTACCCATAGCGTTTGCTGGTATTTAAAAAAGGGATTTGAAGGTTTTAGATTTAAAAGATGTTGACAAGTAAGATATTGTCACTCTTGGTTACCTATAGGTTTTGGAAATGACTTCCCTACGAAATGGAATTTTTACTATTGTTTTTCCTTTTCATTCCCTTTAAAACGATTCATTAGAACAGGTAGCGCTAAAAAAATTGTTGCTCCTCAAATGTTGTAAATTTTTGTCAAAAGCAAATATATTTGTATATGATTTTGGCCTGCCATTGATTTTTTTTCCTTCTTCTTCATTTTAGCTCATTTGGAGAGAGTTATGGATCTACTCATAACAGTCTTAAAAAGCCACCTGAAACCTTCTGCCAGTATCTGCTTATTTGAACACCCTTGCATGTGGATTTCACTGTTTATAGAACAAGATGATGAGATGGTAGAAGCTGTAAAATCATTACTGGCAATTTATTTAAACTTGGAAAGGTTAGTGTCCTTTTTCCCAGAAGCCATCAACTAGTATTTGCTAAAAAATTATCAATTGTCATAAATATCTTGAAAGTGAACACACAGTTCAGGCAACAGTGTTCAAATTGAAACACTCATTCATTCCGTTTCATTTTGCTTCCAGCGTATCACTCCTTCTAAGACAAAATTGTTCCCAATTCCTTCAGTTCCTGGGACAAATCTGGCAAGCTTACTTCTCCCTCTCAAATATGATTGTGTATGAATAATGTTCACATTTAGAATCAGGCATTATCTAGAGTTTCTTTTCTTCCAAATACAAGAATTTGACAAGCATTACAAAGAAGCAGTACAGGATTCTTCCGTATCATAAATGTGATAAGCAAATATGCACCTTTTCTTTAAATAAGACTATAGAAACCTTGACAGGGAGTTCAGTAAAGTAATCTCCTGGTCCATTAATTACTCTCAATGAAACAAAGAGAATTGTATTCTGAAATTTTGACATAGTTCTTCAGCTTTCTCGTGAATTCAGTTCATTTCCCTTTCTGAAGGGAAGAGGCAAGAGTGTTTAGGATGTAGGTTCCAAACGTGCTTTGAACCGAATACCAGTGTTTTTTTTTTTAATCAGAGATTTCCATTATTTATATAATATGTGATCTTTTCAGGGTTTTTCCAATGTAGAACTAAGGAGACATTTCCCCCCAGTGAGAACAATTAATTAGTGGAATGGCTTACCTCCGGAAGTTGTGAATGCTCCAAAATTGAAAGTTTTCAAAATGAGACTGGGTAGCCATTTGTCCAGAAAAATATAGGGTCTACTGATTGAGCAGAGAGTTGGACTAGAAGATCTCTGAGGTTCCTTCCAACCCTATTATTCTGTGTTCAAAGTATCTTGGAAGTCCTATAATCCATTGCCATTCTGTTTATGCCAGTTGTCTGAAACATCTTACTTGCCCCTAGTTACTTTATACTGGCTCATGTTTGGATTTCCTTATGCAGGATACAGAAGATCATTGCATACAGAGTGCTATTCAAAAGTTTTACCTGAAGAAAACCTGGATAAAGCATAGTTTGTCCCCCATAAACTAAGCTTTTTCTCCCTTTACTTTATTTCAGTTATACACTACAACATATTGTTCTCCAATGGTTTGTTATTTCACAAATGGAAGCAAATATTTGTTGTTTATTTAAGTATATTTAAACCATACTTTGTGTCCACATGAAGACTCACAGAATGATCAAGTTCTCCTAATTAGTAATTACTACTTACTGATGCCTTTCTTTTCCATTTCATAAGTTAATATCAAATTACAGTTGATGGAGGTGAAAACAAGCAAGCTCTCTTTCTTCACTTGTCCACTTTGTTCAATTTTATTCCTTTAATGTGCATTGAATTAGAGCACACAGTGGCGGAGAATGATTGAGCGCCATGATCATTATAATAGTCTGATTTACTTGGCCCAAAATAATAAATGTAAATTCAGCTCTATTGTTAAGAGTTCTTGATAAAACGATAATTTAATCTTCTATGTTCTTGCTTATTTTTTAGGTTCTGCCATGATGCTAATTTTACCCTCTGCCATTTAGATGATGGAACCCAGGACAATCGGACACACCAGAGTGGCTATAATCCCCACTGCATCTTCTTATGTCTGTTAGGAAGTGTTGCATTTGATGCCACGGTTCTTCTGGATTTCTTGATTTCATCAGAAACCTGCTTCTTGGAATACTTTGTACAATATTTAAAACTTCTTGTGGAAGATTGGCACCAATTCATCCAAGTTTCCAAATGCTTTAAGTTCACCGTTGGCAAAGATCTCAGAATTTGGGAAGAGAACTTGCCTTGCCAGCAGAAAGAGTCTGTCCCCAACTCTGATCTCAAAGGGCAGAGCACTGCATATGATACACAGGCTTGTACAGAGGCCCTTTTGCCTTCCTCCCTGAATTTGTCTACCCTCCATCACAGAGACAGTCAAGCCATGCAACCCAACAAGTCCGATTTTGCAACAGCATCTAGCGATGCACATTTATCGGGGGCTTTTCAGAAGCTGGTTGATTATGATAGCTCAGAAGATTCTGATGTGGAATGCATAAGAGAAGAATGTTTGACAGACACAAGACAAGAAGCTTTGAACCATCGAGCCTGTACAAATAAAGCAGTTCTTGATGAGAATGCAAATTCCTCCAAGCAAGAAGTGCTACCTTTTACTGAGCAAGATTTGAATATTTCATCAGACTCCTGCAGCAAACTATCCCCCATAGAATCCAAATTAGCAGATGAAACTTTCCAGAAAGCAACTGCGTGTTTCCAACAATTGCAAATGTCAGTTTCTAGGCTACATGCAAAAAGTCTCTTCCCATACAATCCAAATGCACTCTTGAAGCTCTTGAATCAAGTTCATATAATTAGTAAAGATCACCGAGCTGCTTCAGACTAATCAGATTGTAAAGAAATATAGTTCTCCCAGTTAAACCCATACATTCGTCAGCATATGTAGCCCCCGTTCTTTGGGATTGAAGTATATGTTGTTTATGAATTGTCTGCTTGGTTACAAAACACTGTAGCTTCAAATCCTTTGATATGTTTAACTCCAAAAGGAGGTTACAATCTTGTCTGTGCCATGTGTGAATTTTCCCGGAAAGTTTTTTTTTTAAGGCAGTAAATTCTGAATTTTATTTTTGGCACCTTGCTCTGTCTGAGATCATTTTGATATGAAGGATACATGTCCTCAGAAAGAATTAGTTGCTACTTTTAAAAAGAGGATAGGATAGCTCTGTGTTCCCATATTGAGGAAAGGAGAGTGTGGCATAATTAAATAATTTAAAGTTTTATGAATTGGGAAAGCACGGCTAAAGGGGAAAAGATTCAGTTTGTACAGTTTTTTCTTCAAAAATGGGTCATAAAAGCATGCAGCCTCTTATTAGCATATGCTCTAATATTATACTGCTTATGATATAAATCAAACAAGTTAAGAACAAGCGCTGGTGGTACAGTGGGTAGGATGCAGTTTTGCAAGCAAACTCTGCCCACTGCCAGGAATTCGATCCTGACTGGCTTAAGGTTGACTCAGCCTTCCATCCTTCTGAGGTTGGTAAAAATGAGGACCCAGATTGAAGTGGCTTGTTTCAGTTCTAACAGCACTTTGTTCCACAAGGATGCTTTTGCTGTAGAGAAAGCCAAAGCGGGTATTCGCGTTACCAAATAGTTGTTGGACCTGTCCAAGGTGCCTTATTGATGCATAAATGAGGGCATGAGATGGGATGGATGTATGGGAGTCGATGGTGCTGGCAGCAGCATAAATGCATATGATTTCATATAATGTGAAAGCTTGAATGGTTTCAGTAAAGCTGTTTCATATTGAAGGTAATGTAAGATCTCTCCACTTTATTTTATACTGCCATATTCTGGGCCAGCCAGTATTTCTTTCTTTGAATCCACATCATTCCTACTAAGTGCTTAGTTTCTTCCCGTACTGGACAAATCCTTTTACTTTAATGTTTTAAATGTGTTGATTCAAATGTGTTAATTCAACATTCAATTCATAATGTTGCCATTTGTTTTGTTGTCTTAAAACATACGTAGAATGGTTTCCTGGAATTGGGTATGTCTAGTTTAATGAAAAGGAAGGATTAGGAATGACATGATAGCAGTGCTCCAATATCTAAGGGTCTGCCACAAAAAAGATTTGAAAAGAAGGACCAGGGGTGACATGATAGAGGTGTTCCAATATCTGTGGGGCTACCATAAGGAAGAGGGGGTCAACCTATTTTCCAAAGCACCCAAAGGCAGGACAACAAGCAACTGTTGGAAACTAATCAAGGAGAGAACCAGAACGAAGGAGAAATTTCCTGATAGTGATAACAATCAACCAGTGGAATGGCTTGCCTCCAGAAGTTGTGGATGATCCATCATTGGAGGCTTTCAAAAAGAGATTGGACAGCCATTTGTCTGAAATAGTATAGGATTTCTTGCCTGAGCAGGGGCTTGGACTAGAAGAACTTTGAGGTCCCTTCCAACTTTATCATTCTGTTATTCTGTCTTTACATTGCATGTTTTGTGATAAACTTCAGCATTGCAAATTTTATGCCATTAATTTAATTTGTTAAGAAAACTCCATTTTGAAGGCTATTGTGAGACATCTTGCATGATGGCTGTTTTTTTTTTTTTTTAATGAAGGATCCAGTTGATTTTAATAAAATTGAAAATACTTTCTGGGGCTACTGTTTTAATTGTAATATCTAAACCCAAATAGGCATGAGTAGTATTATTGAAAACAATTCCTTATAATTCTATGATTTTGTGATTCATTCATTCCTTATCAAGATTCTTATAAGGATCTGGGCTTTCTAACACTACAAATAAAGACTATTTTTAATAGAAAACCTTATTAATTTAAGGCTAGATAATATGAGAATGATTTCAGCACCATCTCTCTTACGTGGTATTGCAAAACTGACTACATAGTTTTCAAGTTGTGAAATCAATCTGTCCTTTAATTCAATGTTCATGTGTTAAAGTATAAAGTCTTTCTGCCATCAAATCTGTTTCATTAGCGACATTGCTGTTTTTTTAAAACAAAGGCCATTCATTTTAGATCTTAAAAACGGTGCCTTGTTGATACACCCTGCATGGTTACTTAATAGGCTTTTTTCTGTAAAAAGGGAACTTCGAAATCAATTAACATAAGCCAAAAACAGTGTTGGATGCGCTGCTCCATCTAGGTTAATGACTGCAATATCTAAAATTCCCCCCATAATGTGTAAAACATTGCTGTGTTTGTTTCCAAGATGTATAATAACCCTATGGCAAATATTACAGATACTACAATGATACTATAATGATACTACTACGTCTGATTTACTTTGGCCATGTCGTGCATGCAAATTCATTGGGGAAGGCCATGATGCTAGGAATGATTAGTGGGACAAGAAGAAGGGGCAAGCAAAAGAACACACTGGCTTGATAACACTGAAGCTGATGTAAAGATGAACCTCCAACAACTGGAAGAAGTTGTGCTTGACAGGGTGGGATGGGGAGCGCTTGTCTATAAAGTCGCCAAGAGTCAGACCCGACTAAATGGTTAAAATAGCAATGATAGGTGAGAACCAGAGGTGGTATTCAGCAGGTTCTGACCAGTTCTGAAGAACCAATAGCAAAAATTTTGAGAAGTTAGGAGAACCAGCAAATCTCGCCTCTGACTGGCCCCGCCAACCCCATCTATTCTCTGCCTCCCAGAGTCCCAGCTGATCGGCTGGGTCTCCTTTTGTTGCCTTGCCCAGGAGAACGGAGGTTAGTGGGGCGGGGAGAAAATGGGGATTTTGCAGTATCCTTCCCCCACAAGTGGGATGAGAATGGAGATTTTACAGTATCCTTCCCCTGCCACGCCCACCAAGTCACACCACACCCACCAAGCGACACCCACAAAACCAGTAATAAAATTTTTTGAATCCCACCATGGTGAGAACTAGTGATAGGGCATCACAGATGAGATTTAAGGCTGTTAATCTAATTATACAGAAAATGTACCTTCTCACTCAAAACATGAATTGACTTGTTGCAACCTTTTAAACCAGTTAGGAAATCATTAACCTCTTAAACAGAGCGCTTAGTGGTCATGTGGGAAAGAGATAAAGATAATTCTTCCTTTCTACAAAGTGATGGATGTCAACTCTCACTGTCATATCCTCTTTTCAGTTTTTTTTTTACCCGCCTCCTCAAAAAACACCCTTATTGCATGATGTCAAATCTCTCAATCTCTCCAGCTAAATTTGATTAGCAATAGCTGTCCCAAGTTGTAGTAAACGGATGGATTACTTTTTCTGCTCCTTTCTGTTTTCTCTGTTTTCTGCCTCTGATTTTACTTCCCACCTGGTCTGATGAAGGGTTCTACAGAATTTAAAAGCTTACTTATTATTTTGTGATAATGTAATTGATTCTATTTTTCTCCCTCTCCAAATGGATTCAATTTTTTTCAGTCTCTGTAATTCAGAATTCTTTAAGTGAAAAAAACACAAGGGCGTTGACGTTACACAATCCTGACTTGGCTCTCTGAACTTTGGAATGCATGTTGACTACTTTCTGTGTGTTCCAATTGAAAGCAAAATCTCTCGGGCAACTTTCTTTTTTCAAAGATTCTGTTTTGTTTCCTTCCTTGCCTGCCATTATCTTGAGTAAATTGTTTATTTGCCCTGAGTAAAATGTTTATTTTTACCTAGCAACCGGGTATATATAAGTTGAAAACTTGCAACAGAATACCCAGGGATTGGATTCTACCGGTTTGCATCTATTTGCTAGAACCGGTTGTTAACTTTCTAAGCAGTTCGGAGAACCAGTTGTTAGAAGAAATTACTGACCTAATCCTGTAAAGAAGGCAGGAAAGAAACATTCTGGTGTTACTTACAGAAACTGCCTCTCCGTTAACCCTCATTACATTCTTGGCAGGATGAGACTTCCTGCCTCAGGAACGTCTCTGGAGCTTTTTTCTCTCTCCTTTGCTGGTACTTTGCTTGTGTGGAGCCCAAAATTCACACATGTGTAGCCATTTCACTTGGAAACCTGACAGATTGACTTTCTTAAAGGGGAAGGGTTGTTTTAAGCTTTTTACACTGTTGTTGGGAGGAAATACTCCCCTGTTGGAGTTAGCACTTTGAAGAAATAATTGAATAATGAAGCAGAGCTGCCAGAAAGAAGCTTTTATTGACAAGGAACCAAGATGAGTGACCTTCAGCAAGACTTCTTGGCTAGCTAGAAAGATTGACATTCAAATTTGAGTTTACATACCCTTTCTGAGTTTTGCTCTAAAACTGGTTTTTGGTGAAGTTTAATTCTGTGCTTGATGATGTTTAATCCTGTGTTTATTGATGGGATAATTTTCCCTATTCAGCTTTGTTTGGAGGGAAAAACGTTAATCTGTCTTCCTGAAAAGAAACTGGGTTGAGAAAGCTGGCTAGTTCCTGTGTCTATTTGTTCTGATAATTGGTTTAACAAGCAACAGCTACTGTTGTGATTTAATTATTTGTATTGTGTCTGGATTTTTTTCTGCCTCATGTTTTCTTTTTCTCTCTGGGGAGTGGGGGGGGTCTTCCTTCACTGTTTTAGTGGTATCTGGCACTGTCCTTTTGGGGTGTACTTCCAAGAGGAAGGATGCAAGCTTGGCACTGATATTTTACTGCCTTTCTGGGGGGCATGTGATCTTTCCTTAAATCTGGATGATTTCCTCAGGATATCTTGTGAGGTGAGTGAGACCAGCTGGTGTCTTTAAGTGTTGCAAATGGATTGAAGGATTGCTTCTCCTGGGTATGCTCTTTCTTATCATTGCATTTTACCAATTTAATTCCTCCAGATGCTCTAGTACTCTGCCTGATTTGTAACTCCAGCTTGCAGGTATTTTTAACTTAATGATTGGTATTTAGGGCAGCTTTTTGCAAGCAAAGAAGATTTTTGTATTTTTGTACAGGTAATCCTTGACTTACAACAGTTCATTTAGTGACCATTCAAAGTTACAATTGCACTGAAAAAGTGACTTCTGACCATTTTTCACACTTACGACCATTGCAGCATCCCCATAGTCACGAGAGGCCAGGCAAAGAGAAGTGTCCCTGGATGGGAGTGATGTTGAATTGGCCACACCCAGCCAGTCACATGACCACCAAACCACGTCCAGTCAGTCACATGACCACCAAGCCATGCCCCCCAACAAAGCCATGCCCACAGAACCGGTTGCTAAAAATTTAATTCCCACCCCTGGCTTCAACCTCAAACTGTCTACTATGGACCTCATTCCATTCCCAAGAGTCCTTAAAGAGGGTGTACTTTAGCACCCAAGCATGCCTACCATTCGTGTCTTACTGTCCCCATTTATCTGTATTTACTCCCTTTGTTCTTTTTTATGTTCAGACTTGTTATCTTGTACATGTTTGTCAAGCAAATAAAATATATAAATAAAATTCCTAGTTCTAACTTCGAGGATTGGCTAATCATTAGTCTTGACTCTGTTGGATGAGATGTACAAACACCACAGTCGAAAGCAATTTAGATTTTGAAAGCTGGACTTTATCAAATCCAACAAGGGCATGTATGTTTCTACATAATGGTTATATGCATGTGATAGAAACATCAGGAGGATACTTATTGATGCAAGAAAGGGTGAAAACATTTCATGAGCTTAAATCATGAAGGCAGAAGAAAATGAAAAAAAAAAAAGGTGAAAGCCACAAGAACATATCCACATTAAATGGCTATTACAAGATGGGTATATCACTGAAAACCAGTTTGGTCTAGAAGTTAAGGAACCAGGTTAGAAAGCAGGAGATTGTGTGTTCTAGTCTTGCCTTAGCCATGAAAGCCAGCTAGATGACTTTGGGCCAGTCATTCTCTCCCAACCCATCTCACGGAGCTGTTGTTGTGGGGAAAATAGGAGGAAGAAGGCATGTTGGATATGTTCGCAGCCTTGACTTATTTGTAAAAAAATAGGAGGGATATACATTAATTAAAACATGTAAAATATCCACAAAGAGGCCATGAAAAGAATGGAGAGATGCTATTTCATGAGTACTGTGATTGATACCATTGTTTATTTTGATATTCGACACGCACATCACTTTCCAATTCAAACTACCAGAAACCAGCTCATTTTGCCATGTATCATTCAGGCTGTGGTTTTCTGTACCTCAGGAG